ATTACTAGCATTGGAGACAAGGATAATAGTTTGTTTGAAAGAGAAAAGAACAGGCTTTGAAGTAAGCCTAAATGCGTTTAACTAGAAATAGTATTTCGAAAGTTATTAAGCACAAAAGATGAATTGCGTTTATTTTGATACACCTTGTAGAGCTGGGAAATACTTGTAAATGGTTGAAGTACATGCATGAAGAAAATTAACATTCATTTCTCTCATAGCGGAGTGGGACCGAAAAAGAAAATAATTCGTCAGGCCTTATTTTTTTCTGATTCGAGCCCTGCTTGCCATGGCCAATATTAATAACAATTAATTATATAAGATACAGTATAGTATGTATTGTGTTAAAAATATATAGTAGAGAATTAACCATTACTGTAGGACCAACTGATAACGCTTCTTAGGTACGAAGTAAAAATGCCTATACATGCACGATGCCAACAAAAAATTGTATAAAGCTGATTTATATAGACATCATTGGAAAGTCAATTTCATGGAGAACAATATATCCAAAATCCGCCTATAGCTATACCATCTCACGCGCGAGTTTTATAGGGGCAGCAAATCGCTTTTCTAGAATTTTTGCCAACTTCATGCATGCTGTCCATATCTCGGTAAGTTTTACTTCAAAAATGTAAAACTATACCATTCTCCTGATTAGCTTTTCTTACTTTTTTCCACTGCGGACTGGTACTATTTATTTTCACATTTGAGTAACTTAAACAATTATGCTTGTTACCTTATTAGTGTTTCATTTTATAAGGAATATTTTGGTGCTCATGGGGCAATAAAGCCTAGTTTCCATTTGGTCGTTAGTTGTCGCTGGCACGACAAGCAGTAGATGTGAAATAGTCTAATAGTTGACCTGCATCTAAGGACGAAAGCGGACTTCATTTATGCAATGTTCTTTCGTCAAAATTCAAGATCTGATTGGTTATGTTAGTGAATATATGCTAATGCGACCTAAAACGACCTATAAAGAAACTTATGTATATGCAGATTATTTGTTATGATATGGATGAAATAAAATTATTGCTTGCCTCTGCAAATTCCATTCCCGGAATATAAGTTTGGGAGACCCGCTTTAACATGATGCATGACACATGTATCGACATTCAATTTATTCACGATTTAGTCCCGTTCAGTCACAACCAATAACAACCATGCAAGTATTGTGCCTAAGCATGCAAATTCAAAAGCGGCAACCAGTAGAAATCAGCGATTTTGCTTATGCTAACGTCTCGATAATGATATTAACTGAGGCTATAAGTCATTAGATGCAGGTCAACTATTATAATAATAGTCTTTTTGTGTGTTATATGCAAATCATGTCGTGCCAGCGACAACTAACGACCAAATGGAAACTAGGCTAAAACCGGCGGTCCATTACGTAAAAACAAACGCAAGCATGTTAAAACAAAACAGCAAAACTAATTGAAAATTTGAAAATTATAATTTAATTTGTTATTAATAAGATATCTGCGAATGGTTTTAAGTGGAAAGGAAGGAATACATTGGTAAATTTTGTTTTCTTCGACCAAATGTGTACCACGCTGCTAATATACATTTCAAATCATGCATTTCTTGTTTGTTTCGAATATAAATGCCATATTACATATAATAAACTTTTTATTAACTTCGCTTGTTCGGTCTTTACAGAGAAATATCAGACCTCGGTCTTTTTGTGAAAACCTCTCCCTACGGAATCGGTCTGTACAAAAAAAGACCTCGATCCGATATTTCTCTGTAAAGACCTCGCGCTCGGTTAATAAGAAGTTAATATCTGTTTAATCATTATACCTATACCTCAGTATATTTGATAGTAAACATATACTTGTGTCAAGTTGGTTTAAAAAATTTATTGTCATTTCCATGCATGTCTCACTCAAATCTTGAAGATTAAAAATCATAGTCACAAAATCAGACTCAATTAGAGTCACTATCTTGATCATTTTCCGATTTATCAGGGGGCAAACGGTGCCTTCAAAGAAAGTATATGTGTAGACATGCAGCATGAAACCTCACTCTGCGGAAAATTACTGACAAGCAGATTAAACTCATGTCACGGAAGTGGTAAAGGACATGTGCATGTGACAACTGAATAGTATTCTTTTGTAACGTTTTTGGCCAGGGGTGGGTATTTATTTTCTAATTGATATTTGAGGTTGGGTAAAGAGAAATTTTGACTTTTTAATGGTTGGGTCAACAAAATTTTTAGCAAGAAAAACATTTCTCTTCGGTGCCACCCCCCGCCATAAATAATGACCGGTCCCTAAACAGTGACACGACAGGGCCGTTTAGTAGGAGCGAAAAGTAAGTCGCGAACGACTTGTATGAACAGTCAAATTTATCCGCATGCCGTGACTAGATTTAATCCTAGGGTTGAAAGCTAGGCCTAAATAAGCCTTTTTGCAAATGAACTCTTTATACAAGTCCGGCGTTCGCGACTTGCTTAGTTAAGCTGCGGCTTATTTTCGCTCGCATAAATGGCCCTATGAATGACTATTAGTAATCTGTTAGTCTATCTCACAATTCTACGGCGATTCTAAGATCGAATTACAAATATTCTGGCATAGACATAGTGCAACATGATAATAAAAAAGCGTTTATGAAAACGCTTATTTGTAGCGGCCGTGTTGCAGGCATCCAGCATAGTACTACCAAAACATTGAAAAAATTCTCGAAAACTTTAAATTTCGTATTTTCCGCTTCGTTTTAGGAAAATTATTTTTTGAAAAGAAGTTGTAAGAATGTGGTAAAACTGTCATAGGTTCAAGTTTTGTTATTATTTTTGTGTAGTTTTTAAAATATTTCGAGGTATAGCGATGTTATTTTGTTTTTAAGTTATTTTCCATACTAATGAATTTAGGTAAGATTGTCTTGCAAGTGGGTTGTTCTAAAATTTCCATTTCTTATATAACAAGTGAAAATCATATCGGTAGTAGTTTTATTCGTCAAAAATATTTTTTCTGCCGACTAAAATAGCAGTCCTGCCGACTGAAGCTTCGAATAAAATTTTTTGGGGTGTCACCCCCCGCCCCCCCCCCTCCCCCACACACACACACACCTAGCTCCACTCCTGTTAATTTTAGATTCGTAGTGTACCATAAGGCACATTTCATGACTTAAAAAGGGCATGTTCGCGTGAAAAAAAGGGCACATTTTGGTGTTTTCAAAAATAGTGGGGGAGGGGCACAGGGGGGGGGGAAACAGTGCCCCCCCCGGTTCCACGGCCTTTGGCAGTCGGAACACTGTGAACAATAATCAAACTCCACCAACCCAAAAACCTCCTCAGACCTGTCAAGTTTTGAAAAATTTTATGCGGGAAGGTAATTCCTTGGGTTAGTGTCCACGAGGCGCCACCATGTTTGGCGCGCCCAGAGCTAAATTTTGAAATTTGAGTTCCCCAGATCGCCAGAAAATTGCCTTTCCGAGGTTTTTCTTCTACCTTTTTCGAAGCACAAACCTTATGTGCTCATGCTATAAAAATATGAAATGTTAGCGTCGCTCCTTCTCAAACGGCAAAAATAACGCTCCTCAGGCTCAGGAGTCTTCCATTTTTTGTCTCTTTTTGATATGCGATTGAGACACATTTTCAAGACTTCTCAAGACTTCTGGGCACTGGCGTTGGCAAAAAGAATGCATTGGTCTGGACATTGTGCAAATGAAAAGAAATGGGAGTAATTGCCCCACAGAAAGAAACCTCCACAAGTTAAGTTTAAAAAATGTGGGAAGAAAGTCACTTCATGCGTTATGCGTAAAAGCAAACAAAAATGCGGGAATTTCACTGTAATTGCGGGAAACTTGGAAGGTCTACTCCTGTACCAGGTTCTGAACACTCGTTGTAACGATATGCGAAACACTGAAACGATCGGCCGTCTTCTGAATGAATTCGGCCTATTCTTTGATGATTCAGCCAACGAATTCTGCCCACCACAAGTCCACAACTGCCCACGCAAATGCACGAACTGCCGATTATGACGTAATTAACCAAGCCCGTTCTAAAAATACACAATTGCCATATACGTCCCAGAAATCAACACGAACTCATTAAATAAACGACATACCAAAATATTGCCATATCTTCCAATTTTAGTTTCGAAAGTTTTGCTTTTTTGTACAGTATTTCGGTTGTTGTTTTAAACGTTTAAGCTATGAGTTTTCTTGCTAGAGCATTTGGCGGCGGTGGGGCAAAACAAAAGCAAGGCCCTTCCCCTCAAGAAGCGATTCAGAGGTTGCGAACCACCGAGGAAATGCTTCAAAAGAAAAGCGAACATTTGGAGAAGAAAATTGATCAAGAGTTAAACATTGCGAAGACGAATGCCAGCAAAAATAAGCGAAGTGAGTTCACTTTTTTGTAGTAGTAGTTATAGAAGTAGAGTACAGAATGTTATGTAGCTTATAAATGTGGTTGGTTTTTGCTAGTCTGTTAAAAATTATGGCAAAGTATGAAATTATTAAAATATATTGCCCTTTGAAAGAATTGTAGGTATTTTGGGGACAATTTTGACATATTGTAAGGCTGTGAAAATTATGTAGAAGCGAGCCGGTCTGCTGGCCTAGCACAGGCTGTTGGCCTAGCTCGGCGAGCCAGTCTGTTGAGCCAGCTCGGCTCGCTTTATTAAAAAAAAATTCAAATTTAACACAATTAGACAGTTGTATTAACAGGCTTGCTCACAAAAACGAAGCTCCCAGGCACAACACTGTAAATGCCCAGTCAAATGAGTTGAGAAGCGAGAGAGATTCCCTGGATATTACCGCGCATGTAGCGAAAGCATTCATCAAAATTTGAACCAGCTCAAAGTTGATGACAGTGCACAAAAGTTGATGAGAGTTGGCAGTAAAATGCAAGAGAGAGTTGCAACTCTCATCCTTATTTGACCGGGGCTTAATATGCACCACAGTTGCCATCCACAGTACGGTCTTAAGGTGGTTTTCCACTAGGCGAATTTTTTCGAAGGAATCAATTTTCTTTTGTCTTACAAGCACTCAGATGGAACTAATCAGAAATCTTTTGAATGTCAACAATAGAAATTTTGGTTCAATCGAAAAATTTTGCCTAGTGGAAAACCGCCTTAAGTCAGCCTGCCGTCTAACTGTCTTATGGATGGCCCACTGGAAAGTTTGTGTTGCACAACCCAGATCTTAGGCATGCCATTTTGATGTCAAACTCACTATATATTTCCTACTACAAATACATGCATGGAACAACCCCTCGCTTTTACTATCCAAACATTATTTCAACATGAAGTATTCTTAATTACACAAACACTGAACTCAGGCTTGTATTGCTCACTTCATATTAGCCATGGCAATGGGAGACATCCATACTCAAGTTATCACAGAAAACATCTGACATTTTTGAGTTGGTGGGTTTTGACTTTTGAGATAACAGTGTAGCAGTAAATGATAACCAAGCATTGTTTTTTTTTTATCTGGAAATAGTTATTATACACAATAAAATTTCCCTGGTACTTACTTTAAACTTTTAGTGCATTTTAGCTGTTCATGCCCAATACCTAGAATGCCAAACTTAAATCGATATTTTTAAAGATGATGGAATCAATTGGTTACAAAAACTGTTACAAGTGCACCAAATACTGATACTACAGAAAGCTCAAGTAGCTGTAGCTGATATTTAAATTTTCTTTTAAAGGTGCCTTAAATGCATTAAAAAGAAAAAAGAGACTGGAGAAACAACTTCAACAAATTGATGGAACACTTTCAACCATCGAATTCCAACGACAAGCACTGGAAAATGCAAACACAAATACGGAAGTTTTGAACAGTATGAAATATGCTGCAAATGCACTAAAACAGGCTCAGCAATTGTAAGTGTTTTTAATGATTTTACTGATCAGGGTGAATAGCTACAGTCAAAAATTCCGCGTTAAACGCGGTTTTCCCAATTACCTTGAGGTCGCAATTTCCCAATTTGGGTCAGCCAAAAAATAGTTATAGAAATTCAATGTTGTTTTAAATACGCCATTAAAAACATGTTTATAACTACATTTGCTCAAAATTACTCCCAAAATGCGGGAAATGCCATTTCAAAGACACAAAAATTTTAAAAATCGAGAGGGGGCAACCGCATGCCCCGAGACCCACAAAGAAATGCCCGGTTTCAGGCTAAAAATAAATTTCCCAATTTCAGGTAAACGCGGATTTTTTTTACTTCTGGCTAACACCCTGCTGATGTCCGAGGATGTACATGCACTTCTAAATCGGGGTCTGAAATTTATATTTTTTCTCAATATCCAACTGGGATACCAGAATTCAAAGTTTAGTATCCCCCTCCTGAGAATCCAGTATGCCACTTCTGGATACTGGTTACCAGTGCCATAAGTATTATACCCTGTCCCATCAAAATAAGTTTTCATAATTCTCACTGTTACAAATTACAATTTATAACAACAGGAGACCCAACAGTCAACAACTAAACAATTCATGAATGCACTAAAATGCACATAAGCCTTCAACAAACTTTTATATGCTCGTCCTCAATGAGGAATGACTGGTGGTAAACCTTTAACCTAGGGGTGCACCGGAACCAGTTTTTTAAGTTCCGGCCGGAACCGGATCCGACCGGAACTGGAAAAAAGTTCCGGCCGGAAGTTCCGGCCGGAACCGGAACTAATTTATTAAGCCATATATAGTCATATGTTACTTTGTCCGCTGTCAGACAGGCAGACACTTCAAGTCATAAAGGAGAGAGCTCGCAAATGTTAGAATAAAAAGATTGACAAGCGTTAAACGTCATAATGAAGTGTTAATAGTGTACATTTCCCTTGCGTAGTCCAAATTTCTTCCTGCTGTGACCTTTTGTTAGACACAAAAACGTTTGATATTCTATCTCTCTGAAAACAACAGAGTTCCGGTTCCGGCCATGCTTTTTTTACTAGTTCCGGCCGGAACCGGAACTCTAAAAAATCATGGTTCCGGCCGGAACTAACCGGCTGGAACCGAGTTCCGGTGCACCCCTACTTTAACCCATTGAGTCACATTGCCCCCATGATTCGCCCTACTTTATTATTTTACTTTGCCTAATGCCAGACGATTTTACTTGGCAAGAGGAGAGCACTGGTGCTTAATGAGTTAAAGAAATTAGCTGGCAGTAAAATTTTAACACCCAATTGATAATGAAACTTGAAAGCCCTGATTAAATATTTCACCTTTAGAAATTTTTAGTGGAAAGGATTGCTGCGAGTTTGGAGACCATTGTTTGCCTTTAAATGGTGCAAGTTGCTTTACTACAGTACTATACTCTGCCTCACATTTCATTTTACTCAGTATAGCAGCTATTGTCAACCTGTCCTCATTTTAGGTTGGCAAAATGTGACCGGTATTGCATACTTGTATAATATTTACTTTTCTAATAGCTTGCCAAAACTAGTTTGCAGTTACCCTGCATATGTTGTGGGTGGGGTGAGTTAATTAGAGTTGGGGACAGAGAAACATTTGAGAATTTAGGCCTCAGAATGTAAATTTGGTCACGGACATTGTCCGACCCATTCGTGAAATTGTCCGACGTAGAAAGGAAACCACCGGACATTCCGTCCAACCTAAGTGAAACTGAGGTTTATTGTTTGTCCGACCCGAGTGAATTGGTGTCCGACCGAACTGTAGCTTTGTCTGACGTAAATCAGTATGTACCCCAGCCCAGGACTAGAGGCTCGTATGTTAAATGGAAAATCAGAGCACTATTGTATAAAAAGTAAACTGGAAATGTTTTAACATAGTCAAGTGCGGGGCGGCGAGTGAAATGGTGAAGTGGAAAACGGGCTTAAGTTGTCGAAGTCTTTTTTTAATACTGCTGTTCTGGCAAGCAAGTTAATTTTGGCTTGGAAATAAGTATGAAAGAAACAAATTATTTAATATCTTTACAACATTTACCGTTTATTCATTTGTGTCATTCAGACTTATTTCTGAGTCAAAACTGAACTGAAGGTCATCGGACATATGTCCGACCCAAACTCAACGTCACCGGACATTTTGTCAGACGGCCCTGTAAAAGATATTTTAAGGCCTGCAATTTGGTTAAATAGGAAACATCACTCGGGAGCCACTAAGCTTTGAAAGACACCTACAAACCATGGTCAGGGAGAAAATCACACAAATCTGACTACAGCGGTATAAAATTTGCTAATGAAGACTGCAAAATTTCTAATCTGCTTTGCTGTATCGCCATTTATTGAACTATGTTATAGCTACAAAACTAGATTAGCAAGGGAATTTATTGATTGAATCAGATTTGCAGTTACCTCAAGTCATTTGCAGTCACTGTGGATCCCAAACTAAAATCTGACACCTGTGCTTTGCTGACCTCATTTTTAGCTTCAACCTCGTTCCCAGGCTCTTTGCTCTTGTGAAGCAAAGAGCCTGGGAACGAGGTTGGCTGTAGGTAGCGTGTAGTGTTCTTTCCTTGCAATTGAAATATGATTCAGCTTCTTGTTTGAAATGTAACTCAACACTCATTATTGATGACATTGTGTCATGATAAATAGAATTTTTAGTAAACAGTTTATTTCACGATTTCTTGTTGCAAATTACATTTTTATCACCAGAAACTAGAACACATAAGTTGCAATTTTCCAAACACGACAAACCACTCCTCTACCACCCTACCCATAGACACAATTTATTTTAGCATGCAGAATCTGCATGCCACGTGACCAGCCCCAGCCAGGGTCTTTGCTTCACAAGAGCAAAGAGCCTGGGAACGAGGTTGTTTTAGCTTACGTATGCTCAGGCTTGATATAAGGAAACGGAGATCTCCTCCCTTGGGAACTAATGGGTTAATACTTACTGTACATAATAGTCATACACCACATACCTTACTCAGCAAAGTTCGTATTTTATAGAGATGTTGATGATGTTCATGACATGATGGATGACATCAGTGAACAACATGATGTTGCAAATGAAATTGCAAATGCAATCTCAAGTCCTGTTGGATTTGGTCAAGACATTGATGAGGTAACATTCCTAAGCATTAAGTAAACTGTGAAAAATATCCTTAACATGCCTCGTTCGCATAAACAGACACTAGTCTGTTACGGTACTACTGGTATATTACAGTATGTCAATACTATCATACAAAGTAACATTGGTTAAATAAACTCAGATGTGGTTACCACCAGATATTTTTCGGTAAGTAGGACCAGTAGGTTTGTGGATGGATGAATGGACAAAGTCCTAGAGTACGAAAGGATTACTGGTAACACATTTTGCACATGAAAGTACTACAGATAGGACCAAAGTATTGGAGCGTCAAAATATTAGTACAATGGGCACATTTAAAAACATTTGTGATCTGTGTGCAGTTAAAGCTCTTTCTCACAAACACATTTTTAATTATTTTTCAACCTTGCCACCAGAGCATTGCCTTCCCAGACTTGGAAAAAGTGTTTAATTAATTAACCCATTGAGTGCCAGCGCTATTCCCTTGACAAGTAAAATTGCAGTGTTTGGTTTACAGTATTTATATACTTATGTATAGCGTTTTCCACAATGTGTCTGACCAGGTCTGGAAAAGTTTTAATGTTCCTCAAATCCTGAATTTGCCTTTTTCGAATGTTAACCATACCTTACTCTGTTATGCATGTAGATCAAGGAAGTGTGATATACCGATTCCAAGATTCTCCCATAACGTATAAGTGAAAAATTGAAAATATTCATCAATCTTTTTGCGAAGGCAAATGTTTCTCACGATCCTGAGATCCCACTATTTGCAATTCTTCACTTTCATAGAGAGCATTTTCAAATGGACTTGTATACTATAATTTAACAAACTAGTACTGTGACAGACAACTACTCACTTTGCTTTAAGGGAATGGTTATTGTGTTACTTATAGTGGATGTCTTTTGCAACATCTGTAATATGCTGTCAAAACTACATGCAATCTATCAATATTCTTTAAATTTAACAAATATCTTGGGTTTTTGTTAGGATGAGTTAAATGCCGAATTGGAAGAGCTTGAACAAGAGGAACTAGATGAAAGATTATTGGATGTTGCAGGAACAGCACAATTACCATCAGTTCCTGATACTGAAGTGCCTGTCCCAGCTGGTACAAAATATTCTTTATATTTTATTCTTGTTTTTGTAATTGCCTTTCCAAATCCAAAAAAGAGGATTGGATAAGAAAATTGACATACACAGTACTACTAGCTTTTTAAGCTTTCAAAGCTAGGAGAGGTGCACACCCTCCTGCACCAAAACCCCAAGTAAATCTTTATTGACATTTTCAGCATAGAAATTGCTGGGTATATTGTAATGAAATTAGATATTTGCAAATTAGTTTTTTGCTGATGAAATTCAGCTGATGATATCTGGCAACCTTGACTGTGAAACATTTTATCAAGATGATGATTTTTTTACTACATGGTTATATCATAGTCACATAGTGGCACTTAAGAGATTCTGACATGTTGTGATTACTGTTTTCAAGGTCGAGAACGAAAGAAAGTTGCTGTGACAGATGATGATGACATGGCAGAACTCCAAGCTTGGGCTTCCTAAGTGATGAAATGTATATATGCTGCACTTTCAGGAAAATGCAGATGCCAAAATGTCCTGAATTGAAACTAATGAATATCTTTTTTATTGCAATATGCATATTTTGTTTGTGTATTACAGTATAAATTAAACTGTTATTGGTTCAGAGAAATATGTATATTGCAACTTGCAAACAAATTCATGAATGAGCAAGTATATAAAAGATGAAATTGGTTGTATCAGCTGTTTAAATTTATTATTTTTTACTTTGCAAACTTGAGGTTAAGGGTAGTTCCAGTTAGGTTATGTTCAATTTATGGAGCTGCTGTGATTTTCCATAATTTTAGTTGATGCTGGTATATATATAAATGTCCCAAAATATCTTGATAGTTGATAATAAATTTGTTATATACATATTTACATATACCCTAACGGAAACTATGTCACGTTCGCTATATGAGCCTTTGTGACATTAGTTAAATTTAACTGACACATTGATGGAAGTGATTTTCATCACACAGTAAGTCGGGTTAACCCGTGGGTTAACCCAGTGTGAGTCCCCTTGCCAATTAAGAACCCAGTGTGAGTCCCCTTGCCAATTAAGTAAAACCATCTGCTGTTAGAAAAGTGAGATACTGATGTGGCATGCGTTTGGGAACATTGCTGTTTAATCTAAACAACCCCCTGGCCTCTCTTCCGTGATAACTTCGGGCATAATGTTAGATTAGTGTGCATGAGTAAAGTAAAAAAAAAACCTACAATTGCTGAGCTTGCTTTAGTGCATACAGCATATTTAAATCATAGTAGATATTTTTAAGCATGATAGAATAAGTAATTTGCAAATTAAACAAACCTCAATGGCTTGAAAATGTTAAGATGGTGGAAAAATTGCAATACCTGTAGAATATATACAGTAGAATAATTAGAGTAATGTAATGTTTATGTTATGTGCACTTTGACTAGTATAGTTTTGAGCAAGTGTGAATAAATTGTAGTTCACTATTATCATTAGAGTTGAACTTGTATGTTAATGGTATCATGTATCATTTGTAATTTTGCTACTCAAGACCTAAGTGAAACAAAAAGTATTGATAGTTTCAACCAGTTCCAATATCCAACAGGAAGTACATCACATCCATGCCTAGAGCATTATGTTTTCATTGATGTAAGCCTGTCTGGAATCCAAATTTCAAACCTCACCCAAAAATATATTAGAAACAATCAACCCAGTTACAGGGGTGAAAAGGAACATGCAGTTTGCCACTAACATTCCATATTCAAGAAAATACAGGCAGAAGGGGGTGGGGCAGCCCCACCCCTGTTAAATAATACTGAAATCAGGATATAATATATTTGGCAAATATTTCAGTCTCTAATACATACAGTAAATAATCACACAACAATACAGCCAACCTAAGACATAAATTGTTTCAGGCCTTAGTTCAAACATTGTGTTTGTAGGTGTGCTACCTAATTCAAAGTGTTTACCACATGATAAGCACTATGTTTGAATCAATTAACTTTGATTATTTGAGTTAAGTTCAACAAAGATAGTTGTGCCTAATGTACTTATAGTTTCAACTATGACCCATGCATCTGACAATTAAGTTTGACTTAATTGAGTTGAACATTTGAATCAACTTTCGAATTATGCTGATCACATTCACAAGTGTGACATTTGAACTAGGTGTCCAGTCCCTTGTGGGTCCCCCTCTTTTGAATGAAAAACTTGGCTACAGGGGCGGATCTAGGATTTTTCGTACCTCAGTCAAAAATTTTTGGCGGACGGGGGCGTTGTCAGCGCGGGGCGTTGTCAGCGCTGGGCGTGGTCTCGACTGGGCGTGAAAAACGTATTTAGATTAAATTTAAATTGATAAACTCAAACGACCATTTGATTCTTATCCATTGTAAGAAAAACTACAAATGCACAAAGATATATTGATCCTATTCCAATACAAAATTTTATGGATATATTACTATGATATAGTACATTAAAACTCAGCAGCAATTTAATAACATGTTTGCCTGTGGATTAATCAATCGTCGTCATATTGATACTATATACCTATAAGTGTATCATTGTAAAACTTGTAAAATCATATGGCAGCAAATGCATTAAGGAAATATACTGTTCTGTTACCAAAAACGCAGAACTATACAAATAATTGCTAGTAGCCTCAGATCCAAAAAAACAACCAGATATTCATTAACTAAGTCAAACACTATTACATTAACAAGATATAAAGATGTTATGTCAAATATTAATAAACTAGTTACATGAGAATGGGGCTACCAGTCAATGAGTTTTTCAAGATAGC